TAATCGGCGGTTAAACGAACGAGCCAACATAGCAGCTAAAAAAATAAAAAAATGATTGATGTAATAATTGGTGGTAAATGTTTTCATTGTTACCACCGAACGCCTATTTCAAGTACAACAAAAACAATCGCTTTGTCACAACACCAACTCTGCATTAAGTATATTCCGGGTGTTTTTTTTAAATATATGCAGTTGATAGATTTTTTTAATTTATTCAATGTTCTGGGCAATGCCAATTTTTGGAGATAATTCGAATACGGAGTTGTTGTTTTTTTTATATCAGACCAGAGCGATACATTTATTTTTCTATTACTTCCCCCATCCCCATAGCGGTCAAGGACAACAGCTACAATAGCAATGATAATAATACACATTTACAATGACCAATGGTATTGCATCGAGGGCTCGGCAATACCTTACACTTGTTTAACGTAATAGCTATTTATACAAATGAAAATTTTAAAAACAATAAAAAAAAAACTAAACCGCGTCGTCGCTAATCAAACAAAACTGTTTGAATATAGATTTACCACTGGCTTTCGATAGCACAAAAACGACAATCCCAATAAAAACAAATTTAGATAAAATTAGACACTAGAAATGTGAATTCGCCATTTATGCAAACGATTTGCGGACGTCATCATATTGTTTACGACCTACTTGCGTAAACGACTATAGAATAGTAATGATTTACATTAACGAAAATTCTTCTTTTCCTTTGCTCTGCACTAAATACACTAAATTCCAAAAAAATAAATTTTTTACTTGGGTATTTTACAAAAAACAATCAAATATTTGTAATTAAATATTTTACAAATAAAAAGCTAAAGTTTAGTTTAAAAATAAAAAAAATCATTGTGGATTCCGTTTGTACAATATAATATACCTAATAAAATGGTAAAATTAATTTAGATGAAAATATTTTATTAGAAGACCTTAATTCGAATCGGGGGCCTACTCCAGGAATATAACCGTACTATACCGGGCAATGTTTGTCTTACCTTGATTTATCGCTATTTTATATAATAAAAAAAAAATAATAAACGAGTGAAACGAGTGCTGCAATATTTTATCAAATGATTTGAAGAGTAATTATGATGTGTACGTAGCATAGTAGTTACACATGTTCTATTGTTAATGAAGTAAAATATGGTTAAATATAATTAGCTTACAATCGTTACGGTCTCATTTAAAATAATTTGGGCAGGCAAATGCGAATTCAGTGAAAGCTGTACCTACAGAATGACTGAAAGTAAGAATGGTTCGTGAATTCACATATTATTACTCGAACGACTTTATTTCCCCCTTCTTGTATGATTGAAACATATAAGTGATAATTAATAAAAAATTGAATTAATTTGTTAAATACACAAAAAAAATGCGAAATTCCCAGTATATTTATAATCTGAGAGAGCAAGGTTCCCAAAGAAAGGTAGATAGTAAGCTCCTTAGTCCCTACTCTCCTCCACCGTATCCATGTCGAAATAAAAACACTTAACAAGAAATAAACTTAATCGTTTATCAATAAATACACTTGACTCGAGAATTTCTACAAAAGATTTTTTTTCAATTTCAAGTAGGTAATTTTTTTATTTTATTTAGCAACAAGCAGATTAGGATACACAGTTATTGGTTTTTTTTTTTTTTTTAGGTTTGATAAAAACACGCTGTGTTTGACTTAAGCTGACTCAACAACAATAAGCACAGCTTTCGTCACAACCACATTGTTGGTTAACTACCAACATACGTACCTAATTAATAATGTAATTAAACATTGCCGGTCGAATGTTGGAAATTTTAAAGCGGATAAGGTAAAATAACAATTCATAAAAGATAGTCCTGCTCACTCATTACATGTTGTTAGTATTTTCTGTTAACAATAGTGAGCACAAAAAAAAAAAACTCGAGGTCTCGGTGATGTTAACAGTTGCAAAATTTATAGGTAAACCATCAATAATTGCTAATAATCTATTTGTTAACATCGAAATGTACATTTTTTTAAATTAAAATCTATTGGAGTTCCATCATCGGATGTTTTTTTTTAAACAAGTGATACACAGCTAATTGGATATATTAAACATACCACATGCTTATTGTACGAATATTGTATTATACAGATTGTATATTATTTTTTCTATTAAAAAAAAAAATTTAATTCAGTAGCTCTAATTTAAAAATACATAGTCATATTATCTGGCAAAATAGGCCTCAAGTTCCGGTCGTTCCAAGCAAAATAATCTTATGTTTAGTATAGTCATTAAAGTAACCACTAAAGTATGTCTTGCAGTGGCGAGGCATGGGTATTTAGATCGGGGAGACATTGAAAAAAAATGGTGTTACGTTACTTGACAGGGGGACTGTGCCCCCTTGGACCCTCTGTATATTTTATTTTATCTATACTGTAAAAAATAAATGTTCAAAAACTAATAAACTAAATGGCATAGGCATATTTGAAAACGTACAACACGACAATCGATACGACGTACATCGATAACGGAGAACTGATACCGTCTACCAAAACAATAATAATATGAACGGCGGTCGGTGAGACATGTCTCATAGACAATTTTGAAATTGTCTCATTTATTTTTATACTAAATTTGGATAGACCCGGCGGCCGGCAGCGCGACCGCCCGCTGATCCGCGTCCACAACTATTCTATTCTAAGAATACTATTACAAAAAAAATATACTTTTACATTAAAATTGGTTATAACATTTTTATACACATAAAATAAAACCAAATTTTGGTCCGTATTATAAGTGGGTAGACATTGTCTCTTTGTCTCCTATGACGCTTCGCCACTGATGTCTTGTAATATATCCACTATGGTATATTTACCTAGAGCTGAACTTTGTATAGACTTTTTATTTGTTTGTGTGGTATTTTTTTTTTTTTAAGAAAGCTACACGTACTCCTTATTTCACGACTTCGACAACGGTTGTTGTCATTTTTAAGCGATAAAAAAAATAAACACTAAATTTGGGCGCGTTTAATTTGCTCGATTTTCACAGAAAATGTATACGCGGCAAAATCGGTGTCATGTTAGCCACCGAATTCGGTTACACACCGATTTAAGTTTGCTTACAGTAAAATAGTAATAATTAAACAATGTGGTGTACAATGTACATATACGCTGTACGCCGAATAGAGACCAGAGCGCACAAATTAGTATATATAATAAAATTCAATAATGATTCTGACCTCATTATAGCTGTATTTATATAATTACTTATCATTCACGTAATTACCGACACGACACCGACAACTAGAAACAACATTGAACGAATATAGAGAGGAGTATATACAACATTTTAACCGACTTGGCAAAATATTAAGTTTTTCCTCATTACCATTATTTTTGGAGAACATAAATAAGAGCCGCGTCGTCGTGTGGCCGTATGGCGTGGCCAAAGTGTAACCCAGTGTTATATTTTATAACAGTGGAACGACTCGAATAAAATCTCCGTGACGAACACGATTGTAACGGAGGCTAACATAACATATTTTACAATATTTAACACATAATATATATTTTTAACCCTATTATTAGAACGGAATTCTTGTTCATTCCATTAATCAAACAGCGGGGTTGGTGGGAGGGGGGCAGTGGTAAAACAAAACGCTCTAGACAAAAATTGTCAAAATTATACATTTTATTACAATAAAAGAACACACAATCGAGCGGGGAAACCGAAGAAACCATTGTACAATACGTTATGCGTCGAGCTAAAACAAACTTATCGAACTACATAATAATAAGGCGGATCCAGGGGGGAGAGGGTACTTGGGGGCAATTGCCATCCCTGTTACCAAAAAAGTACTATATTCATAAGTATTAGTATCCAAATTTCTGAAACTTCAATGAGCTATTGAGGATGAACTCTTTTACGAATAAATTCGATTGGTTTTAGTACTGGTTATTTTTTGCATTAGATAAAAGCGTTAAGCGTACATACACCTTGAACGAGATGTACACAGGACGTATTGCGATTGTTTTAAATTGACTTTAAATATATTAATATAAAATATTTTAAAACACTTCGTATATACATCTATGCGACTATCGTGCATTAGCAGTTATTTATTGTTTTATTTTCAAGACATTGAGGCAGATACAGTGCTTGATAGACTACCAAGATAAATAATGAAAATAAGATTTTATTTTATAAAATAATTAAAAGTATTAGGATTGTATTAGTAAATAGTGCATAAGTCATCTAGCCTCTAGATTCTGCTCATGTTAAGTGCCCCAACCGTACATAGATGTTAGATCCGCCCTTGCACAATACACAAGTCTATATATTATTATGAAATAGACATCTCATCTCGATTCGGACACACATGACACAGCGTACAGGCATTTCTCTTTTATCAACAGCTGCTATCAAGCCAATATATTGTTATTTTTGGCGCGGAAGTTATATGATTATTATTATCATATCTTGTACTTCCTGCATGACTTGCCGTGCGCATAGCCGTTATCACCAGATTATATATATATATATATATATAATAATATAATCTGTGTTATCACAATGGCTGATTCGCGCCTGACCGGCGACCGCTTACGCGTAACCACTAACCACACTGTCACTATATAGTGCCGCGGTACCGGTCATTGCCGTGAAACTTATCATGACATTCTTTCATTCGGTTGTGTCGCTATTATTAAATAACTTATTATTGTTATTGGCCAGATACCGCAACAGGAATTCCTCTGAATATATTTTTATCATCGTTTTTTTTATTATTATAGAAAAGTAGTAGTACCTTGTCGGTATACGGAAACGGCAGAGATGGCGTACGCGCCAAATGTAAAAACCCAAGTTGTCAGCGTCCGTAAATAGACACGAATAGCCCTATTATGCACCCTATAGGCTGACACGGATTGCATCCGTCAACGGTTCGGAGGTGTAAATTAAATAAACTATACACCTACCACGCAAATTGTTATTCGACTTTCGAGTTAAATAGGGCAAAACAAATGGCAGACTCACCTGCATTATCGGCAAAGACGAACCCTGTTCCACCGATTTCATTTTCGACTGATAGTCCTCCCGGTAGAAGGGTTGTTGCTGATGTCTTCTCCTGAAGAACGACCCGGCGTTCCTGTTGCAACCGTGCCGATGATAGCTGTTGTCGTTCCACATTATAATAATGATGATAATAATATATTATTATTATTGTTTTTATGGTTTTATTGTAACGCAAAACAGACGACCGGCGACAGCGGGACCGTCTTTTCTGTAATTGATAAAACGGCGATGATAAGCGACGGCGTAGACCGCGGACGACACGGGATTTGTGCACAAATAATAACAATATAAGTAAAGAAAAACGAAAACGCTCAACTAACGGCGACGACAAGAAACGTACAGAAAACGTAAAAATCAACACGAGTCGTAAACGTCAAAAAATAATCGGTAAACTGATAAATGGTTTATGGTAAAAATACGAAATTTCTTCTACTCTCTCTCTCTCTCTATTTTTGAAAAAAACGTCTGGATTGTACGCTCGCCGCCGCTATGCACTGTGCGACAGTGACGGATGATTCGACAACGTCGGTCGGCACATTTAAGGTCGACCATCAGATGAAACGCGACGTTGCCAGACAGACGAAAATACTTAATTTAAGTTTTAACAGAACTGCGGTCATTAAAAATGATACGTTTAATTATGAAACGTTAAAAAATAGCTATTGTTTTCTTCATTAATTTATCGGTCAAAAATATGCGCGTCTGTAATAAAAAATTGAATTTTTAGAAAATAATTTGTTCATCCATGATAATACATCACATGATTTTCGTTATCAATATTATCATAATATTTTGTCAATCGTTCAAAATCAAACCATCACTGATCACTCATCAGCTGAAGTTGTGAAACATTTTAAAATTCAAATTCAACCACCAAGACCGCTGGTAGGTAGGTACTACTAGTACAATTTAGTATTTACATAACACATATATTTTACTTGATTATCAAGCAGGTCCGACCAATAATTATTTTCTGAAACTAATTATTTTTGTACTTTCAAAGTATAGTGATGTTCAAATTTGAATTCCTCAAAAAGAAACCACTGCTTCATCATTGATATTAAACTTTTAAGTTTTACGTCAACAAAAGTACTTTGTACTGATTACAAAATATATTTGTTCATTAAACATAAACAATTCTTACATTAATGACGTCAAATGATACATTTACAATTATTTTGTGTTTGTAGTTAAGACAAAAAAACAAATAATAATAAACGAATCTCAATTATTTAAAAATGTACATGCTATTAGAAACTGATATCCTGTCATTTTTGTTAATACATTCAATTAGATATTTTATTAGGTCTTAGTACCTAGATTTTTCATGCCAATGTTAGTATCTTGCCACAGTTATGTTCAGCGGCAAACTGAGCCTGAGGGTGAGAGGATGACCACCCTCGGGGCTTTTTAGGATTTGGGCCACTTTAGCTTGTTAGACACATTATTTCTATATAATTTAACCAAAAAAGGCTAAATTTATAGTAATTAGTGGGCCAAATTGTACAATTGCTCGTATTATATTATCGTACGTGGGAGAACCTGTGTACCCCCAACTATTTTTTCAGAAATTATGAGTACCCCTACTAATTTTTATAAGTGGTTGTTTTTAAGGGTGAATAAAAATACAGAGTATGCTCGGAGTAAACGTCCTCTATTTTTATTTTTACAATTCGAGCACTGATTATCGTTAATTAGTAATTACAAAATGTATATTGTAAAGTGACAATCTTTGTTTTTATTATTTGATAAAAATGTATAACTGTGGATCCATGTTTTTTTCTGAACTCTTGTTAGATTGTATTTATTTTTGTATAATATTAACTCAATATATCTCAATGGTTCTGTTAATTAATTAATTATTAATTATTATTAATAATTATTTATTTATTAATTATTTAATATTTTATAGTACATTTTTTTAATTATTTTTATTACAGATAAGACTACTTGTTAACAATTGCTGGGCAAAACTAAATTTCAAAAGACTACTCGCCTGAAGCCTATAGCGCTGTCCTTACACATAAATACAATTGATCATTGATTATTTATTATTCTCAACACTCAAACTGAATACTTAAGCTATTATAAACTATGAAAATTGAAACTAATGTTAAGGTATGTAAATCCCTCCTGATAGGATAACATTTTGGTTATACAATTTTTTCAATAATTATTTTAACATTTATATTTTTTTTAGGTTGCTACCCCTGTGATATGATGCAAAAATAAGTGAATTAAAACACATCAAATATGACAAATAAATCTTGATGACTTACAATGTATTATAATCGTCAACCAACATCACAAATTCTAGCCTACAGTGCTATATTAATTATAACTTATAAGTCATAGTAGTAATAATTAGTAATATTTTATCATTAATTGATTTTGTATTTAATTTTGATTAACATCTTAATATTACTCGCTATTTAGTTAACCTTTGGTGACGCGCGCAGGGTAAAAATTTACCCCAGTCACATAATATAGTTCTGTGAATAACGTGAAAAGTTTACCTAAGTCACACTTTATTGAAGTGTGCATGGAAAACGCCCGCGTGACAGAAGGTTAATATTAATAAAATATATTTGCATGATTTAAGTTAATTCTTTTAATATAATATTTAAAATAGTAGTCTCATGTCCAAAATATTTAGTTACCAAATTTAATTTATATGCTGTACATTAATATGGTATGATATTTAAATTTTATCGTAAAAATTTGTATTCTTTAAATAAAACCAATTATGAAAATTAATTGTTTTTATTTATTTGTGTAAATTAAAATTGTGCGTGTAAATACTAAAATCGTCTAGAAATTAATAACCACAAAAGTGTTACATGGAAAATTGAACCATACAAACGTGTTCTAGATTAAAATTAATTTCTGAACTAGTCAACTATGACAATAAAAAAAAAACTGAGTACTTACTAATTATAATTGTAATTCAAAATTATTTTCTACGCTTGTTTATTTAAAAATAAACTCATGTCTCAGACATTGTAGTCTCAGTCTGTCATTAGCGCTGAAGATGACAACATTGTTGCCGAAATACGTCGTATAACGGAGAGTATATAATTTTTTCATGGTTAAGGGTTTTAAATATTATTTTATAATACGTATATTGTAATATTATAAAATGGTTAACTGGAAATACTTAGATTTTTTGCGGTTTACACTATGCGCTCATCTACATTAAAAGTTTGTTTTTAATTTAGTTTTTTCTCTCATTAAAGCTATAATTCTGTCTCGGTTCTTTTTATGATAGGGTATAAAAATCATGCTACATTCGATCATAGTTTATGGGTTTACGAAAAATTAAAATCTGTGCATTTAATGTTTAATAATTTGTTATTGTTTTTTAGAAGAAGAAGAATATTTGAATAATGTTAGATGTGTATGCAAAAAAATATATTATTAAAAAGTTTTGTTTTTTTTTTTTCAAAAAAACAAAACCAATTATTATTAAGTTTATTGTTTTGCGAAAAGGGCGATAGTAAAAAGGTAACAAGTAATAGTAATCTAAAAAAAAGTTCAAAGTTTGTACGATCACTATATACCTCTCGGAATTAAACCTGGCCATTACTTAAATAGTTTTTTATTTCAATAAATATTAAAATAATTTTTTTTTATGTTTAAAATAATTAAAATAATTTTTATTAAATGAAATTGCAATTATATTTGAATTCAAACAAAATAAAATAACAAATAAAGAGTTATTAAAATACAATTTAAATTTTAAGGTAAACCATTTTTTATTTTTAATAAAACTAATCATATACATGTTTATTTAAAATAACAAGTTAGAGAGGACTAAAAGCGGTGTGTCTTTTAAAAAGCATTTTTACCACCAATAGGGTAAAAAGCAAAATAATGTTTCTTTAAAATATTGACAATTATTATCTTCATTATACTGTTTAATAAATGAGAATATCCGTAATACTTGTATATACTATTGCCTATTTACATAGTTTAAGGCATTTTTTTATAAACTTGCTATGATTGCTATAATATAACAAACTGAGGTAAATTACATTAATAATTTCTGTGTTTAGTCAACTTTAGCTAAAACTTGGGGGAAAACACTAAAATTCAATATGGAAGGGCTGATCAAATTAAAGCATTAGAACGAAATTAAAAGATCGATTTACTCGAGAATAATAACAATTAACAATAATACTAAACAACTACCTATACAAGAGCTAAAATACCAATGTATTTCAACGGTCATTCCCAAATATTTTTGTTTATTTATCAAATCAGAATAACCTTGAAATGCAATAATTGAGACATTTTACTATGCTTTCTAGGAATCATTCCCATTTTTCACGAAAATAAAAACCTACATAATATTATACACATATACACATTACCAATATACACATTTCATTTTTTATCGTCAACTCTTTTTTTTTTTTTAAAACACATAATTAAATAAGGTTTCGTCCAGATAATGCAACATTCGTATGTACAGTATAATTTGAGTATTTGTATCTGAGAATTTATTTTTTAGACAGAAAAAATTGAGCTAGTATCGACTTTTTATCAAAAGTTGAATTTTTTAGATATTTTTTCGCTTTCATAAAAATATTGGTCTGAAAATAACGTAAGCAACAAGCTGAACTAAGATTCATTTTTAAAAATATCTTATACGGATGATCATTTTATCGTGAACCACTCAATTTTTTTCATGGTGTTTTTATACAATCTGATCTCAAAAACTAATTCTTTTTCTATCAACTTTTGAAACTTAAGGGATTGGTAACGTAGATATTTTGTTACCTTTTAAAATTGAGAGTATAAATTAACATTTCCACTTAATGCAAAATATTTTGAAAAATCAATTGAACAATTTAAAAATAATGTCATCTGCTATGGTGGTCCAAACGCATCTTATTTTTATGGTAACTATCCTTCTAATTTCTTTTATAACATAAAACAATTTTAAAATCTAATTCCTTTTTCCCCCTTAGGTATCAGAGTTAAAAAACTGCATCATTAGGTTTAATAATTTATGTCGTCTAAAATGTTCAATAATAATTAAATTGGGCAAACGGTGTACATTTTGTAAAGGTTTATTTTCATCATTTAGAGGATATAGAAAAAGAACTTTAGAAGCGAAAAAGAAAAATATAGGACCCTTTCTATTTCCTAATCATCATCATGTAGCTTAACGGGCCATGAAGGCCCAACGCTGCCATCATGAGATGGTTTCTTGACGAATTCGCTTCCGGGACGGGTCGTCAATTCTGTTTCCTAATAGTAAAGATAAATATTCTAGTGTTTTAAAAATTAAAACAAAATTACATAAGCCAAATTCTAAATAATTATTGATTTTTTACATCATATTATGTACACTCTTAATCAAATATTATGTATTTATTTTTTGACTATCTACCCTTCGAAATGGTTTAGGCTACTGGTAACGATTAATAAATTGAATACTGAATTAAATTTCATTCACAAAAAAACAAGGGAAATGAGTGACCAATACGTAAACAATGGTTTAAACAATTGTAAATTAAATGAGTCTCAAAAAACAATCGTGAATGAGATTATTACTACAAGTAAGGAAGATAATTCTTAAAGTAGAAAATATACAGAGTATTGGTTTTTATTATGTATTTTGTTGAAAATTCGGTAAGAACTAAAATATAATACACTTCGGCAGAGAAGAACATTCATGGCTATCAAATATCAATACGGTATACTTATACTGTATACACTAATATAAATATACTTATACTTTTACAAATATAATACAAATTAAGATTGTATTATAGTGACTCACATTTTAAAGAGAAAAGATAGTCTCTCCCAAAAACAGTGTAGCCACATGCCGAAAAAAATATTTCGAGTATACTACTTCTTTATTGATAAAGGTATTTTGATCTCTTGAACTAGGTAACACCAGTATTTGGGGGGAAATTTCTGAATCAACACAACACATAACATTGAACATCCTGTAGACCGTATTAACTATTATCATTTATCATTTAAATTATTTCGTTTGAGTTATAACGGCCATTAGTCATTACTCATTTCTATTTATCCGTTCGAAAATCAACTGTAATAATTGGTATTGTTCAATTGTTGACTATTGCTTTTCAATGTTTTTGTCGAAAAGTTAATACGGGATGTATTAATGTTACAGTAAGGTTTAAAGGAAAATAAAAGTACGTATGAGTTAAACTGTTAAAAACTATTTCTTTCTATAATTACTATTAAACACAAAAAAAGTAACATTCAACTGTAGATTATATATAATTATACTAAATAGCCATTTTCCATAAATAAATGAAACATGATGCCCTTTGCAAGAGAAACATTTATGGTAAACAAACCATTTAAAAAACAATAACACAATCTGTTTATTAACATTGGTAGAGAGAAAATAAAATAATATAATATTTAAGGTTTGTTTACCTAGTTTTCCACTTTACAAATGGCGATATGTTTTAATTGTTGAAATAATATTGGTAAATACTGATTAATAATAGATATATGATAAATTCCTTTATAATTGTTTAATTTTGGTTATAATGAATATATAGAATGAAGAGGGGAATGTGTGGCCAAATGGCCAAGACACCTAAAAAGCCTAAATCTGACGATGACGCAAAGGATCCAATTCAAGTGTTTTGTCGTGTACGTCCAACTTCGACTTCTGTAGAAAGTCCATGCATTAAAGTGGTTTCCGATACCGATATACAAATTAAATGCCCTCTTGATGACAGGGGTGTATCTAGAGAAGGGCAGTTCAGTTACAAAAAAATATTTACCGATTATGAAACTCAGGAAGTTGTTTTTCAAGATCTAGCATTACCTCTAATTGAACAACTATTGTCGGGTCGAAGTAGTTTGTTATTTGCGTATGGTATATCAGGCAGTGGTAAATCATACACGATGACTGGGAATCATGTTGATGGAGGTATTGTGGGACGATGCTTCGATGTAATCTTTAATTCTATAACAGATTACCAAGCAAGAAGGTTTACATTCAAACCTGATAAATTAAATGGCTATGATGTTTTGAGCGTTGAAGATGCCATGATATCCAAAGCTGAAGATTTCAAAAATAATGTGAAATTCACAAAGACACCTAAAAAGTAACATGGTTTATTACTAAAAAAACAAAAATAAAGTTAATCAATAATAACTAATTTCTTTTCATATTTGTCATTTTTAGAAGAGATGGAGATTCTAATAGAGTACCTTTTGATTACAAAATTGTTGATATTGACCAAGATGTCGCATATTCTGTATTTATCAGCTATGTAGAAATATACCACAATTATGTATATGACCTTTTAGAAGATGTGTCAGATGGAGAAATTAGACGGTAAATCTCTTGGATAACTGAATTGATTAAAGTTATATATTTATTATTTATTTATAAATAAGTCCATATTAATATTTTCCAGAAATAGTAAAATTATCAGAGAAGATTCAAATGGTAATATGTATGTCCACGGTGTTAATGAACAAGAAGTAAACAGTGCTGATGAGGCCTTCGATTGGTTAAGAAAAGGACAATTACGCAAACGTACAGCTCCAACACTTTTAAATATTGATTCAAGTCGTAGTCATACAGTATTCACTTTACGTTTAGTGCAAGTAAGATTATATGAACTGAATTTATATTTAATTACATTTTTCACACTTAAGTTATACTTTTTATCTTTTTTGTAGGCTCCTTTGGATGCTGATGGTGTTAATGTAATTCAAGAC